GTTGGCGACAAGTCATAGATACTAGTGGTACATATATAACTGAAAGCTAGTTGTACTTTTGAAGTTCAAAAATAAAATTAAAATTTTTGAAAAAAACGCAAAGACTTAGTTGCCAACCTAATATTTAACTGGCACACATGGTGTTGCACCAACACCACTTTGGGATCCATTAGCATTCATCATCAGTGAAGCACATAAACGAAATATTGAAGTCCACACATGGCTGGTGCAACCTATAAATTGGCACCCACAAATATGGCTAAAAGATTTCCACAACATGCTTATCCATACGCAAATAATATATGGATGGATCCTGGTGCACTTAAAGTTCAAGAATTTATTGTGAATGTGACGGAAGATATTATTAATCGTTATGCTGTTGATGGTATTGAATAAGTTTTTAGGTGAAAAACATTCAGTTTTTTTCCGATGACCCATGTTTTATGAAAACAAGGTAATTTTTTTTGTTACCTGTAAATTTCAAAAGTGTTTGTTTCAGATTCACCATGAAAGACTGAATATAGATAGATCATTTATAAATGATCTTTCTATATTCAGTTTTTCATGCCGAACCTGAAACAAACACTTTTGATATTTAGAGGAAATAAAAAAATTGGCCTATCTTTCAAAAGAAGCCAGGTCATCGTAAAAATCTGAAATTTTTCTCCTAAAAACTCATTCGAAAAAAAAAATAAAAACACCAATGTTCTTGATCAGCTCGTCACGTTCTATCCCACCATATATAGAGAGAAGAAAAAAAATCTGTTTTAATTGTGCATTTCTGGAACCTTCGCTTATTTTATTATAATCAGTTCATTTTGATTTTATTTTTCATTTGTGACAAATAGCGAATATCCCAATAATAAGTCTTTGGTTGTAGTTTGATTATTACTACTAACATATTTAAAAAACAGCAGCTGAGAGTGCTGGACATTTTCATACGAGAGATTTATTGCTCGAGGACATTTTTATCAAGGACAATTATTTATGATATAAATGATCATTCGAACTGTCGAGAAAAATGTAAATTGTATCAATTGAACGCGCAATAGTGATACCTTGTGAGATAATGAATGAGAAAGAAAAAAAAACATGTGATGATGCAGCACGTTTTTTTTCCATGTGCATGGGTATTGATGATTTCAAACGACAAAAGGATATTGACCTATTTTTATTATTGTCGATTGTTGATAAGAGAGTGCGTGACTATTTTTGAAGCTTATTGACTACAGAAAATAAGCAACTTTCAACAAAAAGTGCATTCAGGGTTACTTACACTCTAAAATTGAAAAGGATTAAATAGAATATTTTTTTCTTTATTGCTTTGCTATTGATATTCTCTCAATATCATAAAAATCGCTCATTTTGAAATAAATGAGTAATAATACAAAATAATACGCCAATACAATGACATAAAGGGTCATATACAATCATACAAGAGAAAAAGAAAAAGAAAAAGAAACCTTTGAAAAAGGGATTTATTTTTATCCATGGGAGAGTGCAAATTGTAAATAATGTGTTTAGGACGTTGATGTGAATTCATTCGTCAATTGTATCGTTCTTGCTAATCGATTTGTTCAGGCTAATACTAAACTAGACGAAATGATAAAGAAAAATATGAAAGAAGATGTCTAGGTGTAAAATCTTCTACTTACTTAAAAGAACATTCTAGCTTGCTTTTCAATTGAGTTTGGAATGCGTGAAATAATTTTTAAGAAATTCTCTTAGAAAAAGATTTATAACAGGAATAAAGCTACATAAACATATGTGAAATAATTCATTTGGAGAAGAGTTTACAAAATAGAGTCACATTGAAAACAACGATAAAAAAAAGTTTTTTTTTTGAATTTTTTCTATTCTACTAATAAAAAAAATCAACATTTTTTAATGTGCATTTCAGTTTTCTGAATCCTGTATTATTTTGATTGTATGAGTCATACGGCAGTTAATGTTTATTGTCGTATTCAAGTTTTGATATTATTAGAATATAGAATTATTTATTTCATCGTTTTCTAAATATTCATGTATTTCAGTGTTTGAATTTAAATGATTCAATAACATTCGCTAAACACTAAATTTTTCTATAACAACTATGATCTTTTATTATGCTCTCATATCATAATAATAAAATATAGACATGATATCAGGCACTTTTACTTTTAAACATCTCCCTCACTCCACCATTACTCGTCATACGTCCGATTCAATTATTTGAGAAAATATAAAATATCTATATGGAACTCCACTTTTTAATATTTAATTATATATCTGAGAATCCTGAACGGAAATCTTTTTCCACTAATGGTTTAAAAAATCCTATTTACTAATTGTTGAAAATTCGCAAATCATTCAATGTTCCTATGTCTCCCTTATGAGAAAAAATGATGATAATAATTTATATTCTTTGTAGGAAAACAACCAAAATGCTTGTTCACTATAAAAAAAACATTTATACTTCGATCAAATTCAACCACTTACTCAATGTCTCCATGTTCCATTATTAGAAAACAAGTATAGCGAAAATTTGTACTAATTTCAAAACAAAATACCTATTTGCTGTATAAACAAGAAACAAAATATTTATTCTTCCACCAAATTTTAACCAATCATTCAATGTCCTCATGTCTCTGAACTGGAAAAAACTCAAATATTTAAGAAATACAAAATTAACAACAAACTATTTAGAACCAATTCTGCATCAACGAGAATTAGATATTCACATGTCAATCATATGAAAATAATCACCAACATATGCTTCTACAACAAAATAATAAATATAGTCAACAGTAGCTCTGTATCATTTAAAGAACAATGTTTACATTATGCTATTAGCTGGTAAATAACCAAGTATGTGAATTCTATAAAAACCAAATCAATTGTCTTATTCGTATTCTAACGAAGCCTATAAACTAACAAACTAAATAAACTGATTACAATCTCAACTGGATTCCTAATTCAACTGCAATAGATGTCAAGTTTTTCTTTTGCTTTTTTTAAAATTTTAACATGAGTGTGCCTTTCCATTTATTATTTATAATGTATATAAAGTTTTTCTTTTCCCTTTTTGTTATTTTAACATAGGTTCGACTCCCGAATTCATAAACATATCAGCCGGTCAGAAAATATCGAGTAATAGTCTAATTCGCAAGAGTAGCATCATTGAAAAGAGTCCAAAAAATTGAGCATTACCCTATAGTATGAGCTCGGGATATGCTGTAGTCCAAAGCAAACATTTTAAAAACACTTTCCTGCAAGAACGATTTTTTTGTCTTTCTTTATTTTTTCTTTCGTTCTCTCAGCTGCATTGAAAATGATAAATGAAATAAATCTATTCAAAATAAATTAAACGATGAATAATTGAAGTTTCCATAGAATATGAATGAGTTTTCAAATTGAGAAACTTAGTCTATAACAATAGTGTCACATATTCTCTCAATCACTTTAAACCTCAATTATCTTAAAAGTTCGATTTTATTCAATTTTTCATATTATTTGAAAATTAAACAGCTTGGTGCTATTCAATTGGAATACATAGAAGCAATTTTCTTTTTATCAATTCAAATGTCTAAATTTTATACTTTAAGCTCATTCAACCATATGAAATCCTTCGAAAATTCTTTATCTGATATAGATACAATAAAATTACAAGGTTAGAAACAGCCTAATACACTGAGCAAAAAGTATAAATTATTTGAAAGAGGTATTGCCCGGTCCTGAAGAAAAATTTTTAAAAATAGATTTCTCAGAAATACTCTTTGCTTTTTTCACTTTCTGCTGGACAATCTATTTATTATGTTCTTTCTTTCGTCTTGTACGTTGTGATTCATATGTATATGTCCAGTTGAGCATGTGCTTATGAATCAGAACGAATAAGACGAGAGAACGAATATCTAAAAAATAGATTGTACCGAGCAAAATAAAAAGAATGAAGGATTCTTACTGAGAAATTTATTTTTATAAATTTTAGCCCGAAGCCTGATTATCAGAGGTGCATATGGATATATGTGTCACAAAAGAATTAAAAGTAATTCTTCTCATATTGATTGGTCATGTTCGTGAGTAATAACCATTTGTGATCACATTACATCACTTATTATTTATTGATTCATTGTATTTATTTGTTTCGTACAATTGTTGTTGACTGTTTTTACTTGTATACTTTTTTTTATTTTAGATAAATATTTTTTTTACTTATTATTTTTCCTCGATTCATATTTTTGTTATTTTATCATACTGATATTAATATATCTTCGTCAAATTGCACTATTTCTTCTTCATTAAGTCCAAATTTAATCCAACAATATTCAACATTATCAATGGAAAATCTTTTGAAACAAAAAGATAACTCGGAACAATTTCTTGTCATAAAAAATGATCAGAAGCACGTGCCATCACCTAATTGGTCAACATTTGGTTTTCCTGCTAAACATGTAGAAGATGGTTCTTATCAACGAATAATTAGTTTTGCAAACTGTTTCAAATGTAAAGATACTTATTCTCATCAGTCTCGTGTTAGTCGAAGCATAAAACATCTACTGTAACATATTTGTTCAAAGAGATCATCATCATCATCATCATCATCAGAAAATAATCGAGAAGGACCAATGGACAAATTCATCAAATCGAAAAAGTCAACGTCACTTAAATTAGCTGCTCAAAGGATTAAAAACAATTTTACAAAGAACTATTGATATTTGTGAGTTATTCAATGTTTTTCGGTTCAAATGATTATTTCTATATTTTTAGGTCAAAATATCAAGGATCAATTAATATTGAAGATATTCTTGTAACACCAACAATAATTTCAAACAATATTAATTGAACCAGCTTAATATGGTGCATTGGGTATTTGTCCAGATCTTTGGACAGATAATCACAAGAAAATGAATTTTATTTAGGTTTAACAGTTTACTTCATTACTAGTGATTATGAATTATATACATTTAATTTATGTTGTTCTCGATGTAACGGAGTTGATAAAGCAGGTGAAGCTGTTTCACAAGTAAGTATATTAGTTAAAAACAAGACGAATATTATTTTAAAAAATTTCTTCTTAGCCTATACAACAACAATTGAATTTATTTGGTTTATTACCATATATGGATAATTATAAGATAACATTTACAAGTGATCGAGGTTCAAATATACTGAAAGCGCTGAAAGGTGAGTTGTTTAAATTGTTTTCATTGTTTAATATGTAAACTTGCATTGTTAAGGGTACCTGGTGATTTATTGTTTTGCTCACAGGATTAATGACGTACTGAAGTTAGCTTTCTATCAAACACCATAAAAAAAGAGAAAATAATTTGGTGGCCTCAACAACACATGCAAAAAACAACTAAAAAAGTCCCAACATGTTTCTCATACTTCATCAGATAGCAGCTCATCTGGAGATGATACAACAACACCGTCATCATCTAAATATGTTGCAGCTAATACGTTATTATCAGATTTGCTATCAAAATCAGAAGAAGTTTTGAATACAATTACAACTAGTAAAAAACTTTTCAAATACGTAAAATTAGTCAGTAAAATAACTAATACAACGAAACGACTTTTCTTTATAAATGAAGTTTTCTTTCATCCAGGCTGGATTAAACAAAAACATTGAAGAACATGGTGATATAGCCTTAAAACAAGAATGTGTTGTTCGTTGGCTTTCTATGTCAAATATATTACAGTTGATCGATGCTTCAATTGAACATATAAGATCAATATTATCATCAAAATCATCAAAGAATCAATGCTATTTTAAATTAAGTGATATAAATATCATCATTGAACGTAATAAGATTGACATATTATTATATGTAATTCTCTCTGTTTTAAGAACTGGTTTTTTTTCGAAAACATATGATTCAATTATTAAAATGTATGCTCACTTTCGATGATAAACATGTATGACAGTGCTACTTATGATATCAATTCAACACCAATAATTACATTTAAAAATGATGAACTTAAAAGATATTTACGAGTGATTATTGATGATATTTCGAAACAACCAAATCTATTACCATTCTGGCGTGATCTTCAAAAATAGTTTCCCGGTTTAGCTTTATTGGCTCACCATCTCTTTTCTATCCCGTTAACATCTGCGGGAGTAGATTAACAATTATTCAAAGTCATTCTTCTCTTAATCCTGATACTATGAACGCCGGTGTTTTCGTCAGATCTATACAAAACGTTCTTGATTCAAAACCAGACATATTTTTCTAAATATTACTATATTTTGTATATCTACACCTTATGTAATCATAAAGTTTTGAATCTATAAATGTTTCATCTAGTCATCTCACTCTTATTTGCATGACTTTCTTGTCTTTTTATGACCACTATTTTGAGGTTTCGCTCAATTATTATCTAGTATTACTATATGAAAATTGCATAGAAGCTTCGACAGGCAAGCCAGGTCTACACAGAGTCGGTCTGTTTGAACCTCTGCTAACCATACTCCTCCAAGATAATTCGTGCTGCTAGCTCAGTTTTTGATGGTATTTCTAAAAATGTAATTCTAATTGTCGGTATAAGATAAAACTTTTTCAAAGAGTTCATGTAAAAAAAAATTACATAATTAGAAAGACTAATAAAACTAAACAATATCTTCAGTAAACATAGTTAAGAATTCATTTTAAAAAATAAAAAAAATAGATTTTTCACTAATTCAAAACATCACATTTTTCTTTATTATGTTCGTTCTTCTTCATCAAGCTGTTTCACAAGCACGTGTAGCAAACACGTGTTGGGGAAGCAATTCGATGAAGTAAAGTGAACATGAATGAGAAAAAAATGATTTTTACAATGAGTCAAAGATCTTTGTTAGGCTTTTGTAAAATGAATTCTTAAAAACGTTTAGTGAGAGTTTAGAATACATTACAACAAAAGCTTTATTTATTATTCAAATTTATCATTCTTTCTAGCTATTATTATTATTTTTTTGGTCAGATTAAGATAAAAAATTTTGATGTATTTGAATTTATATAAAAAAAAATGTTTCTACCTATTCCAACCGAATACCTTCAAGCTGTTTCATTTTCAAACAATAAAAAAAATTGAATAAAACCAAACTTTTAAGATAAATGAAGTTTAAAGTGATTGAGAAAATATGTGATACTATTGTTATAGACTAACTTTCTGAATTTGAAAACTAATTTATATTCTATGAAAACTTAAATTATTTATTGTTTAATTTATTTTGAATAGATTTCTTTCATTTATCATTTCGAAGAGCGCTTCAAACTCTTGTCTCTTCTTATTCATTCGTGTGGATAATTTTTCTTTTCTTTCTGTTCCATGTGAATGCATATATCATTGCAGCTCAGAGAACGAAAGAAAAAATAAAGGAAGACAAAAAAAATTGATCTTGCAAGGAATGGTACTTTAAAAAATTTTGCTTAGAACTATAACATACCACACGCTCATATTTTAGAGTAATGCTCAGTTTTTCGTACTCTTTTCAACGATGTCACTTTTGCGAATTAGACTTTTAGTCGGTTTTTTCGACTAGTTAGTATGATTCGTTTAAATGTTATTTAAATTAATTATAAACTTATTTAGATTTAATTTGAATATGATTTGAATTTAAATTTTTTTAAACTTATTTCTGAATTTAATATTTCTTTTTAAATGTAAACTAATCATCTCTAGAAAAAGTACAGCTTTTTTGTCTATGACCTTCTTTTTATAAAAAAAATAGGTCAATTTTTGGTGACTAATATATTGAATACCTTTTATGTAAAATATTACCAGCGACAAAATGATTGAGAATCGTATTTTTAATCTAAAATGTAGCATTTACGGTCAGAAGAAATTTTCATGGACATATATGAACAGTACAAGTGTACTCGTTTATAATAGACATAAAAGTTTTATATGAAGAATATACGAATGCAGGATTTACTGCCGTAAAAAAATAAGAAGGTGCACGTTACGTGTATGAGAAAAAAAATGAAAAAATACAAACAAGAAATTTAAAATTTAAAAAAACTAAAAAAAATACAATCAATTATGCATTGATTTACTTTATTTCCATTCTGACTCGAACAGTGAAATTTTTTTTAATGAAACTCATATTTTCTATTACATCAAGACCCAAACATTTTCAGTTTTTAAAAAATAAGAAAAAAAACGTCAATCATTTATTGAACGAATTTATTCACATTCTAACTTGAGCAATGGAATTTTTTTTAATGGAACTTATATTTTCTATTACATCAAGACTCGAACATTTTCATTTTTTTTATAGATATTTGAATCAGTTTATCATATTAACTTTTTGGATACCGCTGTCTTCAGGTTGAAGGCGAACAGAACGAAAGAAAATTTTTTTCGTTCTGTCGTATCGTTCAACAGATGTTTTAATAAGAGAAAATGGATAGGGGATCGTTCATTCGCGTTATGGCGATGGCCAATCGTTATCTTCTAACTTAGAAGAAAATACCAACTAATCAATTTACGTACCTTTTTTTGAATTGTTCAACTTGGACGACACTAGCCGTATCTTTAGAATCAACCGCGTAAATTTCTTTATCTCCAGTAGCTTTTTTGTCTACAAATTTAATCATGAGTATGTCTCCATTTATCATGAAGCAAGAATCAGGAGCTTTCAAGTTTTTTTTGCACTAGCTCTTTAAGTACTCCTATAGGTACATTTTATTTGTCTACTGGGCTTACAGAAAAAAAAAGATAATGTTAAACTTGCACCATCAAATTTCGAAGCATTTCAAAGTGATTCATCATCCTATATTGATGTGCCAATCAATAGATCAAGTAAAGTCGAAAGCCCTGGCACAATAGATATTCGTAAGTGAGTTCTTCTTAAACAATGTTCAGTGATATATTTGTGAAACAATCGTATAACTTTCTTCGAATATAATAGTTCATTGTTTTCACAACTTACTTTCTTATGAATATTGTATCTACATTACTCTTAATTATTGTGGTCAATGAAATAGAAAAATTTACTATTTTAGATTCAAGTCCAACTGCACCTGTTATGCAATCAGTGCCATTATCTTCTAATGAAAAGTCAAAAGATTTGAAGAACAAGATAATTTATTTTTAATCATGCAGTCAACGTATTTGTTTTTATAGGTTCAAAAACAATAAAGAGGTGCAAAAACTGGAGTGAGAAAGAGACCAGAACATTTATTTCTGTATGGAGCGATTATTACTCAAGATTAACGTCGAGGGTACAAGAAATCTACCCATTTATAATTTCATGGCCAAACAACTCAATGAAATGCTGGTAGATCGATCTCTTACTGGCGATGATGTTAAATGCAAAATTGGTAATCTCGTTACCGAATATAGACGCAAAAAAAGGAGCAAGGAAAACAGAAGCTAGCCCGTCTTTCTGCCCATATTATGATCTCATTGACAAACTTCTAGGTATGTTTAGTCTTTGAAAATATTTCTATAATAGTACAAAGAATTTTCGTTTCCATATACAAGAAACAACAATTTCGAAACATTTCTAGAACTTCAATACTTTCGTAACCTATTAGTAAACCTTATAATTTTAGGTGAAAGACCATACAACGACGATAGTCTCTTGTCGGACTCAATGATCATAGAACAAGAACAACTTCTAAACGACATCAATAATGTTACTGTATCTGGATTGAATTTATTAACTCAAGCGTGCGAACAAGTCAGCGATTGCATTCCTACGATGAATACAGAAGAACAAAGAACTAGTGATCTGGAAAATTCCGTTACAACATCAAGTCCATTACATTCTAATCCTGGTTTACAAGCTGAAGTACCTGCAAAAAGCAATTCTCAAACAAAAAAAAATATTTCTAAGAAGAAAAAACGATTGTCGGAGATTAAGTAATAAAAATTAAACATACTTGGCAACAAATGAATTTTTCTTTCTCTTTGTAGGATTGATCTTATCCAACAACTAGTTGGAAAAATTGAAGCAGGTAGTGAGAGTATATCTCGTTCAGAATTGAAAGTACTGAAACTCCTTCAAAAGCAAACACAATTACAATAAGAGAGTATAAACAATGAAAAGGAATTCTTCAACATTTTTAAAAACATCATGAACAATAGTGGTGCAAATCGATGAAACTTTTTATTAATACTTGTGCATCTGAAGATGCAAATTTTTGTGTTTTGTTTATTTATTTTCTTTTGTAGGAGATTAACTACTAATTTTAGTTTTTGATCAACATTTGTTAAATTATTGCTTCAAACTTTTATTTATGGTACAGCTGCTCTTTATAAGCTACCAGTTGTGATAATATTTTTGTCTCATATTATTTTGTTATTTATTTATAATAAAATACAAGTTGCTAAAGTTGTTAGCTAAAATAGTCTTTACATTGCGCTCTATTAAATGTTGAAAGATAACCTGATTCAAAAGTTGTATAGAACGTGTAACATACAGTCTTGATTTTTGTAGTAACTATTACGAACAATCTGTGCTCATCTCTAGATGGATCAAAAATCAATGTTGGCTTGTTGCATTTACTTCTAATTAAAAGAAAAAGAATTAATAATGAGATTAATAACATTCGTCTTGAATGTCAACGATTAATAAGAAAGTCTGCTGCTTATATAAATCTAAGGAATAATCTTGTGATTGCTTTATTGATGCTGCTTGACAATTCACTTGAAATGAATCGTCATATTGTGTGGTCTTTTCACAAAAATGATCTATGGTGGATAGAGATCGTTCAGAAGATGAATGAAAGGCAGTTCAAAGAAAATTTTCGATTGAAACGTTCTACATTTTCGTTATTAGTCAATCAAGTTGGATCTTTGATAAAGAAAGATGATTCCAAATTCCGCTTATCAATACCGATGGAGAAGAAAATAGCTTGTGCTCTATATTGTCCCGGCTCGTCGTCTGAATTAAGAACAATTGCAAATTTTTTTGGATTGGAAAGAGTACAGCAGGTGAGATTTTGCATGAATTTTGTGCTAGTATTATTGAATTATTCTATTATCGGCTTACTAAATTTCCAACGTCTAATGAAGAGACAAAGGATACAATTGGTGGATTTCTTGACAAATTTAACTATCCAATGTGCT